AATCGGTTTTGAATTGTTCGCCGGTTGTGGCAGGGGCTTCTAAGCAATGTACGTTGAAATCACCCATGATAAGAATGTGAGTGTACTTTGGTTGTAAACTGCACCTTAAAGCAGCCATTAGGTGGTAGTCGGTTTCGGGTGTTGAGTTAGGGGCGCGGTACACCAAGATAATAAGGCAAGCGTCCCTACCTTTTAACTGCAACCGTCACCAAAGAGAGTCGGGGAACTGCGAATCTGAATCCTCCACGGCTTCGCACTGTAAGTCGTTTCGGTAGTACAGGATTACCCCTCCTCCTTTTGTGAGCCTATCGTTCCGGATCAGCGACATGCCCGGTAGCGACACTTCAGCGTCCTTCATTCCCGTGTGCAATCATGTCTTGGTGATACCAACGACATCATACGAGCCGGAAGCTTGGCGATCTTTCAGTTCAGCCAGTTTGTTAGAAAGTCCCTGAGCATTTGTATACAAGCAGGCCAGTTTCTCGGTCTCTAGGATCCCGCAGAGAGGTGAAGCTGTCAAGTGTGGGAGAATGCCGACCGATGGGAGGTCGGCAGTTATTCGTTTTTTGATGGGTCAATGATACCTCGTTTGCAACTTGATTTGGCCAAGGTGCGTCCCAGCCTTCGTTTAAACCTACTTCAGAGTCAATCAAAGCAGCAGTCAAGTTACACTTCTGTACATTCCTCAGGATGCTTGCTGCTTCGGTTGCTTTAATACTTGAGCTGTGCGAATTTTTTGCGACCTTTAACCAAATTTCGGAAGGAAGATGTTTCCGATTTCTTCTCCATCGATCCAAAACATCCTTTGCTTGTTACTCTGACTGGACCACAAGTTTTGGGATTCTAGGGCCGCATCCTCTATACTTCGATGAGAGAGGTATCCTGGTGAGCGATAGTGCCACAACATCATCCAAAGAAAGTGTTTCACGAATGAACCGCCACTGTTCTAAATCGTGCTTTCCGGTCTCTTGAACATCGTTAGAAGGATGTTCTGGCACTCCATGTATGAAGACTGTGTTTAGGCGGTCTTGCTTGCTGTGCCCCTCTTCGGTGTTTCTTTTTGATTGTCGCGCGCTCCAAGGGACATCAGGATAGATACGTATCGCACAGGATTCGTGTTTTAGCGCGCTTGCGGAGAGCAAAACATTTTCCACGTCGGTTGAGGATTCTAGTGTTACTCGAATAAGTCTGGGTTCACCATAGTGTGGCGAGTTCGGATGACGAGTAATTCGTAACAAGTTTACGGGCTTGGCTTTGATACTCATCTGCATACACAATGAGTTCCATTGGTCTTGGTCGTCTGATAAGTTATCCCGCAATGTGATGGCGGTAGATTCGGGAACTTTGAGCATACAACAGTCCGGGCACTGTCGTTGGATCCCTTTTTAATCGATCTACAAGGTATGGTACTTATTTGTCTTGACTTGTTGGTAAGTGATTGTTTGCTGTTTTTCTCTCCATTTGCGTTAACGGTGTTTACAATGGAAGAGGACGCAACGGCGGCCTCTCGGTGGACCCTAGCAGCAATCTCTGCATATGTAACCGATGTTCTGGGAGGCTTAGTCTCGACAAGAGATATTTGAGCTACAGGTACCAAGGGTTGGTGTTTGGCTGCTCCATCCTTGTTAATACTAGATGTCAGGTCTAGTGGAATTTGCTTAACCAGACGTTTTGAATGGTGCCTGATTTTCTTTGCTGTGAGTACTGCTTGATTCACGTAGGTACAGTCTGTTTTCGCCCGGCGTTCTACCAAAGTTGGAGAAGACAACGGAGATGGAGACATGGCTGATTGCGGTGCAGGCGAAGCGATTTGTTCAGCATTCCGTTGCGTAGCAGCCGCTAAGCTTCTGTGGTCCATACTCGCTCCCATTGAAGTAATCTCCTTGTTTATCCTCTGCTCTGCTTCTGCGATTAACCGGTCGCATTTCTCAGCTAGGATAAGCAAGCACTTAACCAGGGGGATGGTGGAACACGCAGTACGGAACCAAAATGCACCTTGTGAGCTATTTCGCTGCCGTAACTGTTGTTGGGACACCTTTGCACATTTCGTATGGTACCATGCTAAACAGGGCGAACAAGCCAGACCGATTTTTACTACCCGATGACATTCTCCTAACGCGCAAATGCCTTTCGATGGGAGTCTCTGCGGTTTCGCCTTTCTGCCATTCAATTCGGTCTCGTTACCTGACCCAGTGGGTTGGTTAGCGTTCTGTACTTTTACAGCTTTGAAAGCGGCGCACATCAGTTAGGCGAGCGTGGTGGTTGCAAGGTCAAATGAGCGGTCGGCGTGGTCGCGCGGTCCGTGTGATGGGTAATGCAGCCGCACTGGCTGACAAGGTCACAAGGAATGGCGAGAGACTGGAACCTGAACAGAGCGCTGAACAAAGATTGACAGATCACAGATGCTTTCACAGCTGTGTTGAGAAACACTGGATCGGAGTAAGCTTAGGCTTTTCGGCCTGCCTCGAGAATTCTGTATCGAATGGTGTCACACAGAATGGCAATCGGCTCAATACGATTGAGTTAAACGCTTGCGCTTAATCACAGATGCCAGTGAAAAACGCTTATTGATGGCACAGCTTCTAATCGTAGAAGATATTTCCACGTATGATGGATCACTGTGTAGAGCTGGTAAATCCGGTTCGAATGAGCGTACAGTGACAACGCTGCGAGAAGATGGAGAGAGGATAGAGGGAAATAATCCAAATGAACCAGTAGCACGCACGTCACGCGTGTGTGAGGATGACCTTGGTTTGGAATTTCTTGTGGTATCTATCCATGGTGGCCGTGCCCTTAACCCACTTTGCCTAATGAGTGGGATATAGGGAGTGGGAACCTCCGTAAGGTATGCCTTAAATTTATCCCAGGCTAACTGGACAGAGTCAGCCATCGAGATTTCACAGTTCAGAACTGAAGCCTTAGCTCCCATTGCATTGCCCGCCAAATATTCGGAAGTAATTCAAAAGCGGTCTCTTGCTGCCTTGAAAGAGCACATCGAAAGGATATGCATACGTGATCGCTGGACCCTAGAGGTGCACCGCATGAAACGTCAGTCACGAAGTCCAGGGACTTAGCGAAAACCAAATCCAAAGTAGATGGTATTTGGTTGTCTATATACCTAATGGGGGTTTCCACGAACTGGTTCAAAGTCACTTGAAGAGTCTGTTCAAGAACGTCTGCACCGCATGTTCCTAATGCCGAATTGCAAGAAAGATCGGCCCAACATACTTCCGGGAGGCTGAAGTCCTCTAGATCTGAACACTTATTCGCAGACTGAGTGCGAATAAGGTCAAGCAGCCCCCTGGAAGAACTTCCAGGACTTCTGTATATCACTATGCCTGTAATGTGGGTAGTAGAAGTGCACAAACAGCCGATAGGGCTTCAACAGTCTGATCCGACGACTGGAATGTGCAGGTCTTCAACACATCTAAGTTACAGCTCACATACAGTACAACGTCTCCGCCTTGGCGACCAAAGGAGCAATCAGTTCTAAGCAGCGCGTAGCCAGGTAAACATAACTCACCGTCCGTGATATCCGGAGACAGCCGCGTTTCAGTGAAAGCAAGTACGTCGGGACGAGATTTGTCCACGAGTAGACCCAACTCGTGCACCTTGTTCCTTAGGCTACGCACGTTGTTAAGTACTACCTCAAGGAAGTCGGCACGACCATCCCTGGGTCGTGCGCCATCAGGATTGGTTCTGATAGGGCGGAAAGTAACTTCCGGCTGACCACCTGAAAACTCACCAGACAGAGGCCTTGCTCACCAGCCGCGCGCCTGTTGTTGAGGTCTTTGATAACCTCCGTTAACTTCAATCTATCTGCCAGTGGTAGGTCCGGCTGAAAGCTGACACCCCTACCCTTAAGTTTGAATGCAAGTCGCAGTAAGGATTTGCGTTCCTCCGGGGTGGAAAGGCCTACACG